GGGGCAGATTCGTTGATTTCAGTGACATAGCTACTTTTTCAGGTTTTTGTTTCTGTGACTTCGTGTATTAAAGGTTTAATCCTTTACAAGTGAAAAAGACCATTACGAACGCAGAAAAGTTTCGACTTAATGTCATTTGTCCTGACGCAGGAGATGCTCTTAACATATAGTGATTGGATGGCCTGTAGTAACCGGCCATCAATCCAACATGTTCGAAGGCATGCCCATAGGTTGTTGTGCGGGATCCGATCATAGGCGTTCTCTTGGTCCACAAAGCACACTGGATTGGCGAACTCCCACGATTTCTCAGCATTATGGCATAGGGCGAATGTCTGGTCAGATGTGCTTCGGTTGAGCCGGAAGTTGCACTGCCTTGGAATCAGTTATTCCACGACACCTCTTTTCTAGCACCTTTGCGTAGACCTTATCCAGGATGCACAGTAAAATGATGTCCAGATAATTGGAGCATTCCCTGTGGTGTCCATTCCTGAACAGGGGTACTGCAATCCCGTTCTCCAGTCTGCTGGAGTCTTCGTGTAGCCCATGGCAGTTTGACAGACACGTGTAAGCCAGCACAGGTCTTGTTTGCATGCATGCCAGCACATGCCTATTGCTTTGATCATTTCAGGGTAGGTTTCATCGATTCCAGCGGCTTTGGTACTTTTCTAGCTTTTCACAGCTTGTGTGATTTCAGGAAGGCTATCTCTTGCCTGCTGCTCTTCAGACCAGTCTTCCTGCGGTTATTCAGAGTTACGGAGTTTCTCAAGGTACAGTAGCCATCGTCTAAGTATATACTGTTCTGTGGTAAGAGGGCGTCAGTAATTTTCCTGTAGAACTCCCATACTACCCTACTTTCTCTTAGAGGCTACCCTACATCTTAGAGGCTTGGGCGATGTGTCAAATCACCTTGTTTGCAGTCTTGAAATTCGACTAGAGTACCGCATTAAACTTTTCCCAGATATGCGTTCATTTTGCCATTGGCTTCCACGCCACTATGCGCTTTTCGTATCGGATTTTAATTGAAAGATCTTTGCTTCCAAGCCATCGCTTGAAATCAGCCCTCTCGCTGTCAGCCAGTTGAACCTGTTGTATCGTGAAGTTTTTTCTGAATCTTTCGTTGCCAGCTAACCCGTTTTAAAACACAGCATTCAGCGATCGTCCCGAGCATATCGCACTTAAAAAGCTTTTACTCGCCTTCTACATAAGCTGTTATCGCTAGGATCTGTTGAAACCGTCTTGCAATGTTTGCACGTTTCGCCTTCGTATCTGTAGAAGAGTGTTTTTCATTTGATTTTCTGGTTTGATTTGCCCTGAATCTTTGCATGGTGTTACATCTTTCGCAGCGGAGAAAGCGAACAAATAAATGATGATACGTTGACAGTTCTGCTTCTCTATTAATAAACATCCGTCGCGGAACTTCGAAAGTCCGGTGATACGACCAGCGAATCGATCATCGACTCATTTGTACAGGTTTACTTATACCAGGTACAGTGATGCACATTTCGATGATTGTAGATGCTCATGGCAGGCAGTCATATGCGCAAAAGCGCAACTTAATGACGTTAATTATTGAAACCGCTAAGGCCGTTCTTTCCACTGACGCCTTTCCAGTTTTTGTTGTCTGTTTCGATGTACATATTGAAATCTCCCAAAGAAATGATTGATTCCGTAGTCGGCAGTTCATATAGGGCAACTTCTACTTCCTCCAGAAAATATTTTTCTCCCTCCGAATTGGCCGTGCAGACTTGCGAGATGACAGCTTTCAGTCTGTTGTAACTTTAGCCACTCTTTAGCTGACGGCTGCCCATTCAGTGGTTCTGTCAGGCCGGTTGCGTGTTGCCAGAACAGCAACACCATCCTGAGCATGGGCCGTGGAGTCGACACATGACTAGAATAGCTTCAATCCTCAGAGGTTCGGAATTCCAAATTCCTGGCGCCTCGACGAAAGTAGAACTAAATTGAGTCTATCTTGCGGTGTCATTTCTCTTCTTTCCCTCTGAGTGAGCAGATATTTCGATTTTCGGCTGGATTACCCACTGTCGATCTCGTTCCCGTGAAACCTCATCTGACGTGCTGTAATGACATTGTCGCGTATGCATTATCCGTTCAAAGCGGTTAGCGGCGCTATAGCTGACTTGTATCGTCTTCATAATTATCGTCGGCAGCCGTCGCTTGTTGTTCCGCTTCTAGCTGCCAGAAGGTGTGAAACGTTCTGGTCGCAGACTTTCCGCATTCTGCCTCAGTTCCCTCAACTACATGCGCGGCTGTTGGTGATTCGATCGACAACTGAGTAGGGATAGCGTTCGATAACGATACCACCAAAGGCAGGCGGCTAGGTTTTACGGGAGCTCAGGCTACCGTCTACCACCCTCATTCTTTCTCATCAGTGATTGGGACCGGCAGCGGTAAAGTTCAAAAGCAGTGCATCAAATACGCTACTATTAATATAGTCAGAATTGTCGAGAAACTCTTGGAACCATGACCTAGTGCATTAAGATCCTTTAATGTTCGAAATGGTTCTAGAGCATAGTCACACTTTTAGGGGGGATGTTGCGCTATATATTTTGTTTTGCTTTCGGTGTTTAAGTTCGATGTTAGATGTGTTTCAGTGAATCAACTGCATAAATTTTAGTTTCCATAAGTTTTAGACGAACGTTTATGGGCTATCCATCTCCAACCTATGCTGGTTTTCAGTAGAACATTGCAGGTGATGACGATCAAACTTTTAAGGTCTCTGGGCGCGTGTTATCGATAGGTATTGATAATGTAATCACTATTCTGCCGCCATACGGTCAGAGTATCTGATAGCTGGTTACTGAAAGCCTGAAATAAAGCTAATTAGCAGTTAAATTAAGATTGTTTTGGTTAAACTATGTCATGTTGCTCGTAACGCGAAGCGCGTGATGAACATTTTGGGATGTAATTCATACTGTATTCAGGATGCTGATATGTTTTCTGATGCGTATTGTGTAAATGTGATTGTGATTAAAATCTGTCGTATCGTTGACTAATTGAAATGTTTCAGTCACGAATTACTATCGAAACCGTTTGATGAAGGTCGCTGTCGACTACAAAACTAAAGATATCAGCTTCGCCGTCAGCAACAAGGACGACTTCAGTTCCGAGATCGAAAATTTCGGTTTGACGGACAAGGCTAAGAACAGCTTTATGAATGATCAGCCATTCATCCTGATTTTGAACGATAAAGGACAGAAGTTCGTCATGGAAAAAAATTTCAGGTCTGGGAAAATTTTCATCATGGCGACGGTGGCTAAATCGCACTAATAAAGTATTCGTAGAACGACATCGCTAGCGAAAGCGTGTTGTTTTTAATAATTTAAAGTTTCCATCACTTTTGTAGAAGAAACGCATGGGTCTCCACTTATCAGTGGCACAAGAAAGGTCGCTCTAGTTATTAAAATAGCTTTATATTCACATGGCTGAAAATTTGCTCAGACTGCGAAATTAGAAAATTCTAGACTTTTTTTGAGTTTTGTACTAACTTCATTTTGGGGAAGTGCTTCCCTAGAGTAGCAACATAGAATACGAATGACTTCCAAATAGATTAATAGAGCCATAGTCAGACAGTGCTTGAAAAGTTTATTGTGATTTGACCTTGTGTAATGAAATAAGAAATGAGTTGTTCATTAACGATTCTTGACGCAAGGCGACACAGCAATCAATCTGCATTAATGTTACAGTTTTCACTTCAGCAATGAAACGAAATTCAATATTTATTTGAATTTTCATTGGTATGTGCAACAAGTACATAACTTACGCATAGTACTTATTCTCTTAATGTAGACACCCATGATGAATTCTATCGAGCCATTGGCTGAACTAATGAAGACTGAATGATAGGCCTGATCTTTGCTGTGAGATTTTCGAGTACTGAGAAGTTAAATACTTGCTTTATTTGATAATCGTTGCAGCATTGATAACGTGAAAGAATTCGTTGATGACTTTTTGGCCGGAAAGCTACCAGTGCACGTCAAATCAGAGGACATACCGGAAAAGAACGAAGGACCCGTCATAGTATCTCATTCATTTTCTTGCTGTTGCGCGTCATATTGCATTTGCTTCTAGGTCGCTGTTGGTAAAACGTTCCATGACATAGTTGGTCAGGATAAGGATGTTCTCATCGAATTTTATGCTCCATGGTGTGGCCACTGCAAAAATTTGGCGCCCATTTACGAAGAATTGGCCACTAAGGTTGAAAAAATCGATCATCGTTGGTTGCCTGATTTGTAGAAA